ATGTCTGAATTTACCTTGTATTCCTCTCGGTTGACTTCACTACAAAGTAAATAATTTACTGGTTATCCTTAGAAGACTTCTCTTAATTACATGTACATGGTTATTCTCACTGTTCATAAGAAAGTTGTTGATGTATTGATTTTCCTTCTTCTACAGATATACATTAACCTACCTTAATTCATTTTTATAAACATCTTTTCCTTTTGTGTCTTCTGGAAACTGTGTTAATATAAAAACACACTTTTATAAGTATTGAAAAAAAACTTTTGTATTTAATCAGAAGGTTTTTTTCTATAACAAGATGTACATAACAGACAACAATAAATGACCTTGAACTCTGCAAATTGAACTGCCTCTTGAGGTCGACCTCTCTTTGGTTTTGATCCCCCTGCTGCTTGCCGATTGGGTGATGGGTGTAAACCCATTTGTGGCATGTAATATGCTGCCAAACGTCTTGCAATCTACAATTTAATATAGTAGTATATAATTGTTGGTTTAATTTAACTTTAAATAATTTCTGTACATTACAAAGTAATATTATGGCTGGTTTTAGAAGTTATTAGTGTTATAACGTACATGTACTACATCACTGATTTTAAAATTTATTAGTTTTTAGTGGTACATGCACTACATCATTACCTCTTGTTCTTGTGGTGACAATTCATTGAAATCTCCAGGAACAAACACTTGAACCCCTGGAATATTCATCTGCCTGATTGTTTCTACAAAATCCTGCTGCTGATTACCACGACTTTGACCTCTACCCTCATTTGATGCCCTATGACCTGGAGTTTCAATCCTTTCCTCTACTTCCATTGGTTGTTGTGATGTGCTGGGTACTGATGTACTGGGTTTTGGGTCTACCTCCATGGCTTCCGAGGTCTGACTTGTTGACTCAGTTGAAATCTCAGATTTGTCTTCAGTTGATTGTGACTTTTCCTCAGACCTGTCAATGAGCTCTTCAGCTTTAGGAGGTAGAGATTTATCCTCCTGTTGGGGCAGCTGTCTTTGAGCTAAAGAGTCTAGCTTCTCCAACTTTGTTTTCTCTCTATCTATTTTATCTAAAATTTCTGCCATCACTGTGTCATCTACTGGCCTGTGAACAAGTCTGATAAGAAAAACAAAAATATTTCTGAGTGTATTTACCACAATAAACATCTAATCCTTTCTTTTTTTTTTTTTTTTTTTTTATTAAATTGTGATATGAAATCATATGTTTGACTAACTATGAAATGATATTTTTACAGTGTATGAAACAGTCCAATAATTATTCAATAGTTTGTGGATAAACTGTATTCATATACTAGTATACTGTAAAATCACATATTTTCGTGGGGCCCAATTATTGCAGTCAGAAGAAACTATGGGTTCATAAAGATTTGATTTTGTGGATGAAGAATTGTTGAGTAGTCATGTATATGACATTTTACATCTCGTGGTGGTCATAAATTAGTGGGTCTCCTCATACCTTGAAAACAACAAAAATTAAACCCCCATAAAAATTAGTGAAATTAGTGACAGTACTAGTATTATATGATGTTCACCTTATGACAGCTTTTCCACTAGTTAAACCAAGTTTTCTAAGTGTCATGGTCTGTAGTGCAACCTCACCTATTACCTAGGAATAAAGTGAATCTTCATTGTTATACTTTTATACATGTGATTAATACAATTAAAAACAGCAAGGTCTTAAAACTCAGTACAGTTATTTTTAATTTATCTGGGACTAGTAGATCAAGCCAATAATCACACATATATTACAAGCATTAGCTCACCTCCTCTCTCATGTAGATACAAGTAGTTTGGATGGGGGGTGTATGGGAGGGATCCATCTTACACAGGTTTCCTGTGTGAGCACTGTAAAAAATTACTTTTACTCTAAAATAACCGTGTTTTTATAAAAATTCATTTTTACTGTAAATCTTGTATGTACTCTGTCTCAGTAAGTCTGACATTTCAATACTGTACATATTCTGTGTGAATGTCATGCTCTGGAAGAAAAAATATTCCAGATACATGTATTATCCACTGACAAATTTCTCTTGAAATAGAAGAACCAATAATCAGTACATATTTCCCAGAGACTGACCTGTCTGCTTTCTCCCAGTGCTGTAGTATGTCCCACAGTGATGTGGCAGGTGAAAATGTCTGCTGAAGTCTCTGACCATCCTCCAGCTGTAAGGCAATCAGAACATCTTGTTCTGCTCGGCTGGATTCACTCTTCACCAGTTCCAGTTTAACATTGTTGGGTAGATTGGAATACCTTATGGATAGGGTAACATCTACAGTCTTTCTTCCATGTCTGTAATACAATAATTACAATGGTAAGGTAAATAGACATTATAAATATAGACTAAAGCTGCAGTACCTCTGAGTATTTTGGGTTAATTAATTCCCCAAAAAGCATTACATCAAAGAAATCATTATCTCTTTTATGACATTTTCTCAAATTTCATCACAAGCATGACCAGAGGAGAACCACAATATAAAAAAAACAATGAAAATAATAATAAAAAAGGCACTGCAAAGCAGAGCATCCCCTTGCAAATGAGCACATCAATCCCAATATAAATTATCTCTTGCATAACTTCTGATATACATACACACACTCACTCAACCCTGACACACATGCATGTCACTATATCCAACCCAACTTAATTGTGGGGAGATAAAAAAACAAGCAAATTCAGAGAATTGTGGTTGCCCGCTTTCTGGGTCCTATTGGTTGGAGTGCCATGATCTATGGCTTATAACTGTCTTGTCTGTCCATCATGCTAAAAGAACCAATTTAAAGTTATACCCAACGTTAAAGTTTTTGTGCAAGACAGATAGACAGACTGAATGAGATTTAATGTCCTATGCTTTCATGAAACAGTGGACAATAATGTACACATCATACTTAAGTGAGTAGTCTTCTGGAGGAAGGAATCCCTGCTTTTTACACACTTCCTCTAGTACCTGAAATAGAATATGATGTCTAATAAAACAAGTGATATGTAAACAGAACTTTTCATACTGATATAAACAACAAGAAATAACACTGGCTAATGGGAAGGGATTACAACTTACATACACCGAAATTTAATTATTATTATTATTATGTTGGTTCTAAAATTCACATGTGAATTGAGAAAAATACTGTGGATATCAATGAATACTAAGACTATATCACTTAAAAAATATAATTTGAATGGAATTTATTACGTTTATCCCTTGGATATATATTTTTTTTCAATTCCCACACTGTATTCCAATGCCTAATAATGTCATAGAAACAATGGGCTAATATAAGGGAGTCCTTTAGGGACTTTTTAAACAGATATATTTGGAAACAGAAAGTACATAAACCTTGGTTATAAATAATAATTAATACAGTGTATAATTAAGTAGGTAGTTTGACATCAAAGGTTTCTGTTCAACTTAATTGTACCCTGACTGACTTGTAACCAAGTCAACTTGAACCAAATATGTCAACTCATAATAAAAGGCAAAAGTCAACTCGTAACCAAGATTCTGGTTACATAACTAACATTCTGGTTACGAGTTGACTCCTCATATAGCATGATAACCCATAATCTCAGCGAGATTTGTAGGGATTAAAAATTTTGGTCTGGTGTCCCTGCATAATCTCAGCGAGATTCGTAGGAACTAAAAATTTTGGTCTGGTGTCCCTACGTAGGGACACCAGACCAAAATTTTTAGTCCCTACGAATCTCGCTGAGATTAGATAACCCGTAACTATAAACAGGTCTAGGAAAATCACTATATTTAGCTATATAGCTAAATCTACCTATATAGCTTTATTTACCTATATAATATAGCTTTATTTAGCTATTTCATAGTAAATTTCTGTTTTATGAAAAGCAGACAAAAAGTCGCATAATGAGGCAGTATTAGTTTTCAATTCACCAAAAACCCACTTTTAAAAATGTTTCTCCTTTTGTGCAATTGCAATCAAAGATCTAAAAGTTTTGGGGCTATGTATAACAGTTAATCTGTGAATAAGCAGCTACTTTAACAAAGAAAAGCAGTTCTGGTCAACAAGATAATTGATTGGTAATAATTCAGCACAATGCAAGGCAATCACACTTAGTCATGCCTCATCGCATTTCCAGTAACGGACAGCTATCCAAACAACAGAGATGCATTTTTTGGTTAAAAAGTGTTTAAAAGAGGCAATGTTTTTACTATTTATGCCCTAGGTTGTTTTTATCAAACATTTTAAAAAAAATATCAGCCATAATTTTCATGCGACTTTTTGTTTGCTTTTCATAAAACAGAAACTTATTCTAAAATAGCTAAATAAAGCTATATTATATAGGTAAATAAAGCTATATAGGTAAATTAAGCTATATAGCTAAATATAGTGATTTTCCTGGACCTGATAAATGATATTCAGAGAAGATTTATTTACTCCAGATTGATAAACTCAAATTCACTAGACAAAGCTCTATGTGGGCTAAAAAAAATTCTTTGAATTTCAACATAGACTGAAGTGGTAGATCAAATGTTTATAAAATGTGTGTGTTGCCCAAGGATGACATGCAAATTTGAAACTTCAAGAAGGACTTGTAACACAGTTTGACATGTCATTAAAAGAAATGCCGACCGTTTGCTTGAAATAAGCATAAAAAAGGTATTTTGTACTTACCTGAAGTAGTTTCGTATTTGGCGTTACTTTAACGTTCTGTCGCCGGCCGTTGGGGCATAGAACTTGAACAGTCGACATGTCTCTCAACTTTTTGTTTACACCGGAAGTAAATTTTAGCCGCTTACGTTTCATAAAATAAATAATTTTTACGTACTCATTATCACTAACATTATCAACAAAAGTTATTTAAATTATTCATAATTACAAAATAAAAAATTCAGAATATTACTTCATGAAGATATTATATAAAATAAAGTTTTCGGCATGTACATAAGCGACACTACTGAGAGGGGTTGTTATGAAATCTTTCTTGCAGAAGAAGCAGTGTTTCTAAACGGTGTTGACTAGACGTAAAATATGGATGGAAGAATGGAAAAGTAGATCTTCATAATGAAACATCACATTAGTGAACTTAATTCCAGTAAGCTAGAAGTCAATATAAGCGTTCAAAATGAGTGAAATCCAACCAAGCTCCATCTCTGGTGTGATGGAAGACTGGAATGGTACAGTGAGAGGAGAGTGTCCCTCAGAATCTGGTCATGAGGATTCTGCTCCCCAGGAGGAGGATTCTACAACTAGGTTTCATGTCGATAGGACACTTATTCCTTCTGCACAACTCGCAGAAATGAATGAAGACAGTGAACTGGGGGATCTTGGGCTGACTGTCTTCAATCAAGAAGAATTTGAGGAAGGTCTGTTCTGAATGAGTGTTTTTTTTCTCTCTTGTAAATGGTTTAAGATCAACCTTAGAGAGGAACCTAAAAGTAAGCATGTATTTAAGAATTTAATCCCCAGGTACATCTTTTGCAAGACAAAATACCGGTATGTCAGTTTTAATGAAGAATTCATGGATTTTTATCATACAGATGTAATGGCTCAGGTAGATATGGCCTTGGCTAAAGAAGAGGAAGAACAACAGAAAAAGAAGCTTCAAAAGGAAGAGACAGACATCAAATATGATATAGCGTAAGTAGTATAATAATATTTATGTAACACATACATTATTATATTTATATTGATTTGAATTACCTATCTCCAATTTCTTATGTTTAAAGCAAAGTTAAGAAAGAAGTTGAAACTATGGATAAAGTTTTGTCAACTCTGGGAAATGCAGTGGGAAACAGTCATGTAAGAAACAGACTAGTCTCTGTCCAGAATCAGAGAGAAAATAAGGTAAATCTCACATTATGACATCCTTCTTTAATTAAAACAAGGTTAGCTTTTTAAAAAAAAGCTGAGAGTCAGCCACTGGAATACAGAAAGTTTCTTTCTTGTATTGTGATGGTATATGATTTGTTTTATCCATCATGTTGTGTTCATTAAAAGTCATTGTCGTCTAAGTTAAAATTCGCCCAGTCCTTTTCTTATTTGTAACATAATGCTGTACATAATAAATAATAAAGCATAGAATAAATTTTAGTTATAATACATCGTGATCTTTATGATGACCTCCAATTAATTTCTCTTGGACGCGGACATCAGATACAGATAGGAAGCAATTTCAGTTAGGGGAGGGGGGGGGGCACAGCCATACATTTTCAGTTGGAGGGGCACTATTAACTACCAAAAATTCCTTGACAAGCAAAAAAAAAACAAAAATAAAAAATTAAAAGGTCATCAGACGTTTTTATTGAGGGGGCACAAGCATATAGTAGCCAATCTTTCTATAGTAGTCTATATATCGGAAAAATTATTGGGGGGGCACGATCCCCCCCCCCCCCCCCCCCCCCCCCCCCCGGTTCCTATGGCCATGAGATAAAGTTTGTCTCAGAAATGAACAAAGCCACTATGATCCCAATCATTGAACTTTGAAGAATGTATACATTTTTAATTTTACTGTTAAATTCTATAAATGATATAGATTATGATGCTTAAAAGGAAGGTAGACCTTGGGTTAGATTGTGTTAATTATTATTAGATAAAAGTTTTTAATCGTGCATGTTCGAGGCAATGCATGATAGGGGAAGGGGGAGGGATGCATACTGTATGTATATAATTTTTTCAATTTCTAAATTTAAGCATTCATTTTAGTGTTACTAGGAAAGAAAAGAATTGCTTCCAAAATAAAGTAATAAACTGGAAATTCAAAATATTTTATACATACAGTACGTATACCCTAAAATGATACTGGATTCCATCTCGCTCACCCTCTCTAATTGGGGGAGGGGGGGGCTGTCTATAAATCCGCGCAGTTTCTCTCAACTCTCAAGTTCTACTGTGGTCAGTTTCTCACCTGTGGGCGCGGTTCACGTGCACAAGCGGCACTTACATGTCTATTATTGTGTAAATTATAAGACTTTACACATCTTAAGTGATCTTCTGACGTTTTCATAACTTTCATCATTAAAGTGAAAAGAGATTCTTTTTTTCACTGTTTTGGGACCTTTGTGCAAGTGGATTATTGTGTGAATTCCGATGCGTACATGTCTTATGCAAGGTATTGATCGAGGGAGTCTTGCATCAGGCATTCAGAGGAATACACACAAATCCGTGAACTTGCAACGGCGATTGAAGGTATATATATATCAAGTGTTAAATGTGCTCTGCATATAAACTTCTCATCTTCTATAAGAAGCACTGAAATATTTTCATAGTATCATATTTCCCACTTAAAACAATCTCTTCTTTAATTTTTCGTCGAGAACGACGAAGAACAATGCAGTCTATATATAGATCAAGGTCAAGAATCACGCCCTTTGGTTGGAGCAAGTCATGTACATCTTTTTCCCAGAATTCCAAATTACGCAAGCGCACTTGCAGTTTCATCCCACCGTAACTAGTCAGCCCATGGGCTGACTAATAATTTGATTATAATCATTGTTAAAAAAAAATAATGAAATAGCTTAAACTTTTTACAGTTAAGTCAACTGAAAACTTTGTATGCAAGACAACGTGCACTACAGATCAAGATAAATGGGACCTCAGACATTCCACAGGATGTTTTTAAACAAGGTAAACTTTTCAGAATAATAATGATATTGCTATGCAATTTCAGGCAGGAAGAATGTTTGAAACAGTAAGATTTTTATTTATTCTATTGAATTTAGATGGAGCTGCACTGAACAAGCTACTAGGACTGAGTTCTAAATCAGAGACAGAAAAAGAAAAGATGATCAGACTGGGACAGATGACTCCTTTTGGAACTGTTGTCTCATCATCAACAGAAAAGGATCCAAAGTTTACAGGGGAGGGTGTGAATGAGGTAGAATACTTTTATTCTTTTCCAATTTTAAAAGGAAAAAAAATGAGGCAACCGGTAACTATCTGCTTTGAAGATATCGGTTTTATTTTGCTTAATGTTATGTCAGACAGGGTATTCATGTACCTTCAGTATTAAAACCTGTACAACCATTTGCAGAATGGATCATCAAAGGAAACAATAAGTAATAAAGAAACTCATGAAAGCTCAAATTCTTCTGTCAGCCATGGAATGATAGACTCACCAGCTTCAACGTCACAAAATACAGACAGATCTGAAAACTTTTTTGACTCGAGAGACAAGAAATCTTACCGGAATGATGTGGAGGGGGCATTTTACAAACACAATTACAGAAGTAAGAGGAGATACTCTAGGATGTCCAGGAATTTCCGTGAAGATTCAGCCTTGAGTGATGAAGAGAACTGTTACTATGATGACCCAGAGGGTTACTTGTCAGAGGGGGATGAGTATCGACCAGAGGAGGGGGAACTCATGAGACCAAGCTCCGAGGACTCAGGTTTAGAGGATGAACCAGACATATCAAGTAATGATTTACTAAATTATTTTACTGGGTGTGTGTTAGCTCTCTCAGACTATATCTATAAATAGTAAATAACTTTTGTTTTTAAACTGTTAATAGAAGAGAAGAAACGGAAGAAAAAGAGTACAATAATAAAGCCGAAGAAACCTCCAAAGTATTTTGTGTCAAATGAAGATGAGGACTTTGCTGTTGCAAGCAAAAGGAAAATTAATCGAGACATTGCAGAGCGAAAAGGCAAAGATGATGGGGATGAAGATTTCTATCACAGCCGTATTGAGTAAGATTGAAAAAAGTCTAGGGGGAATTCTGTTTTAGAAAGAAAACTTTATGTGACAGAAAATTTCTGATTAAATACATGTATCAATGTACTTTAAACATATTTTTTTTTCACATGGAGTCATAATTCTGTAAAATCACAATTCCTGTTAGAAAATTAAGTGGATTTCATGGACTGCCATTGTGTCTTAAACTTACTTAAAGTTTGTTGTGATTTGTGACAAATTTAGACGGGAAATTTTAGACTGTGTACATAACTTAACTTAATCCCACACAGAAAAAAAAGGATGTCTACAACAGTATTAAATATTTTTATAGGGAATTTAACAAACTTGAGAGGAAGAGTTTAAAGAGGGTGGATACTGGGGAGATTGAGGAGGAGCTTGATGAAGAACTGGAGGGAGGGCTCCGAGTACCGGGCAGAATCTGGTCCAAGTTATTCAAGTAAATGTTAACAGTGTTAAAGTTTAAAGAGAAAAAAAGCACATCTTAATATAAGTATACATGTAGTTGTAAATTGTGTTGCTTCAAAAAAGATTCTGAATTACATGTACACTGTACATAAACTGATACCAGGTAGATCAAAAAAAGAGAGTAAATATCAAGATTTTTCTGATCTTTTCCTGATTTTTTTATCACACTCCATCATAGGAGGCAAGAAAGTAAGTTTCAGAGTCTCAGACTGAAAATGTAACAATGATTGTTATTTTTTAAAAAGATTCTCAATATCTGATAAATAACAAGAACCACATTAAACTAAGTGCCATTAAAAAAATGTTACACATGTGATAACTAATGCCAAATACAGCACATCTTAGATGTACAAATTTACATCTAGTTATCAGAGAGTTGGTGTGAGCTGGCTGTGGGAGCTGCACTGTCAGTCAGCAGGGGGGATAATTGGAGACGAGATGGGACTGGGCAAGACCATCCAGATGATAGCCTTCCTGGCAGCCCTCAGGCAGAGCAAAATAGTCTCCAAGCACTTCAAGTAGGCTGGTTTTGTCTCATAAAATTGACATAAAATAGGGGTTAGAAAGAGATAGTGAATCAGTAAATTTACATGGTTATGTATTAGTTTGTCTGTTCATGCATTGGTTTTACAATTTTTCTGCTCTTATTCTCACAAGTATTTGTTATAAATTATTTCTATTTGTACACAATTTCACTGATTCACATACTCAACATGGATTGTTTCACATTTCAGATACCGTGGTTTAGGGCCTACAGTCATTGTAACACCAACAACAGTTATGTCTCAGTGGGTTAAAGAGTTCCACAAGTGGTGGCCATTGTTCAGGGTGGCCATCCTGCACTCCTCTGGGTCCTTCACTGGGAATGAGGTAAGTCTGACAATTCTGAACTCTTCTGGTACTTTCTCCGCTGTTAGATGAGTTGAAATATTCCACACACCTGTGGATCATGTATTGGAGTCAAGTCATAATCTGTGATGAATCTGGAAAGAGATTGCTTGAATAGGAGCCTAAGGAGGACATTGCAATATACATGTATTAAGATAACAAATACATGTACAATAATAATGATCTAACAGACTTAGTCAATATTTTGTAGGAGGAGTTAGTACAGAGTATTGTGAAGGATTGATCAGCTAACTTGTTTACTGGTACATGTAGTTAATATTTTGTAGGAAGAATTGGTGCGAAGTAGTGTGAAGGATAAGGGGGTCCTCATCACTCACTGACTTGGTTAATATTTTGTAGGAGGAGTTGGTACGGAGTATTGTGAAGGATAAGGGGGTCCTTATCACTTCTTTCAGCACCCTGGTCATCCATCAGGACAAGATCCTGCCGTATGACTGGCATTACGTGGTGCTTGACGAGGGCCACAAAATTAGGAACCCAGATGCTCAAGTAACGCAGGCGTGCAAACAGGTAAATATAACAAAAGTATGAAGTCAGGTACGAAAGGGAGGGGTTGGGTTAATGTTATAGACTTCAGATTAGGCCAATATTCACCCTCAGTTCCCATGTACATGATAGTTAAATATGGCAGAGAGTTTTTCAATATCTTTTAGTAACTTAATCTGAAAAGTATTGATTTAACTTAATAAATTATGAACCAAATGGAAAACGCCAAATTTTGATAATCAGTTTTGCCCATTGATGGAGAGTTATTTGTCTCTTAATTTGGAAACATTGCTTTTTTCCTTTGATAAGATGCATGTATTTTTACTTTCAGTTTCGGACTCCACATAGAATCATTTTGTCTGGTTCCCCGATCCAGAACAACCTGAAGGAGTTTTGGTCCTTGTTTGACTTTGTGTTCCCTGGAAAACTTGGCACATTGCCAGATTTCCTGCAGCATTTTTCAATTCCTATAGTTCAGGGAGGATATGCCAATGCCACAGAAATGCAGGTAAGCAATGGTCAACATCAGAAGCCATTTTTATCAATTTTGGTACATACAAGATAAGTTGTCTAATACCTTAACAATGTTTGAGCAGGTTCAGACAGCCTACAAATGTGCTTGTGTGTTAAGAGACACCATCAATCCATATTTACTGAGGAGGATGAAAGCAGATGTCAAAATTAACCTTCCAAGTAAAAATGAACAAGTAAGTATATACATGTAAGTTTTTGTGTATCCAAATTTTCAAGGAGGATGAGGTATGACATTTTATTTTTCAGTTTGTGTAGAGTAATTAAATTTTCTACTGTTAAATGGAGGAGGTTGTTTTTTTAGGTACTGTTCTGCAGATTGACTGATGAACAGAGAGACGTGTACCTAGAATATCTCCAGTCAAGAGAGTGTCAGGCTATTCTGGCTGGGAAATACCAGGTAATGGAATGGAGACAAAAATTGTTCAAGCTCAGAATTTATACACTGTATGTACTGTTGTGTCAGAAAAAGCAATTTAGTAATTTTATTGCTCATAAATTTGATCAATTCATAATGAATAAGGAATCCCAGAAGTAGCTCCTGATTTTATTATGATGCTTTACAGATCTTTGCTGGCCTGATCACCCTGAGGAAGATCTGTAATCACCCAGACATTTGTACAGGTGGACCCAAGCTTTTCATTGGTGAGGACAGCCAGGGAGACCCATCCCTGGAGTATGGCTACTGGAAACGTTCAGGAAAGATGATTGTCGTGGAGGCGCTGCTGAAGTTATGGAAACAACAGGGACACAGGGTTCTACTCTTCAGTCAGAGTAGAGCGGTAAGTAGAGGAGATTCTCCTGTCTTCATCACAGCTAGTCTGTTACCCTCTATAAACCACTTAGAATTACCTTGTTATCTCGAACTCGATGGGTCTGAGAAAAAACTTCGAGAGATCTGATGATTCGAAATATTGAGGGTAAAATACTTAAAGAATAAGTAGTTAGGACTTCCAAATCACTTGGACATATCCATGGCATTTCGAGATATCAGTGTTTGAGATACCAAAGTTCAACTGTATTTCAGCTTAAAAAATATTCTATTATGTTATACAGCTATACATTCATTGGAAATAGTGTTTATGTTTTATCCATAGATTATGTGTATTGCAGATGTTGGACATTTTAGAGTCTTTCACACAGAGTCGTAACTACAGTTATCTCAGAATGGATGGTGGTACACCCATCTCATCACGACAGGCCATGATAACCACTTATAACCAGGTACAGTACAAACTTGATTAAAAGTATGTCTATTCTTTTAATTTTATTACATGTAATAATATAAAGTGAAATTCATTTTCAAGAATAATTACTTTCTTGCAATAGTTATATTGAGAATATATAGCACCAGGTACATGTACATGTACATGTACTACTGGAGGCAGTATTTTCCAATTTATTCTACATAATTTATACATGTATAAATCATTCAATATTGTAGGATCCTTCAATCTACCTGTTTTTGCTGACCACACGAGTGGGTGGGTTGGGTGTAAATCTGACAGGGGCCAACAGGGTGATCATATTTGACCCTGATTGGAACCCAAGCACAGACACCCAGGCCAGAGAAAGGACCTGGAGGATTGGTCAAACCAAACAAGTCACTATATACAGACTCCTGACCTCTGGCACCATAGAGGAGAAAATCTACCACAGGTATGTCACTGTCCTCTGTCAGTTTTCTAAATTTGTATACCTGTTTACCTACTTCTTTTTCTTTGGGGTCTGTTTAAAAAAAATAATTTTTTGTTATTTCTTTTTAGACAAATTTTCAAGCAGTTTCTGACCAACAGAGTCTTAAAGGATCCAAAACAGAGGCGGTTCTTCAAATCCAATGACCTTTATGAATTGTTTGAACTTGGAAGTAAAGGCAATAAAGAAGGAACAGAAACGGGAGCAATCTTTGCTGGAACAGGGTCAGAGGTCAAGAGATCAGAGGTCAAAGAGAGAGCCAATCGGTTTGATGTTCTTCAAGATAAAAAGAAGGCTGAAGCAGTGAAAGAAGAAGAGGATGACACATACTTTGATGAGAGTGAAATCAAAAGAATGAGAGAGCTGGCAAAAATGCTCAGTTCTAAATTAATGAAATCAAAGTCTTCTGAAAAAGTGCCACACAATGGTAGTGCCATAACAAACAATACTGCAGGTATCTGTTCAGTGGAATCTAAGAATATTGTTCATATGAAGAGTGACAGTTCTGCTCATGGATCTGAAGATTCTAAGGACTCTGTTCAAAGCAGCATAATGGAGAGTGAGTTACCATCCACAAGCAGTCAAGGTTGTTCTCAGATATCAGTCAGGCTTGACTCTAATGACAGGGATTGTCATGATAAACAAAGTGATACAGCCAAGTCTAGTCCTCATCACCAAAAAAAATCATCATCTAAAGATAAATCTCATCACAGACACTCCCACCATAAAAAACATCACAAACATCATAAACATAAGCATCGGAAGCGGGTCAGAGATGCAGGTAAAATTAGATTGTTACATTGTTGCTGTTTTCTTTTCACTGAGTCACGTCTCATTGAAGGGTACCATTTATTTGTATCTGATACATTTGTAGAATTTGAGGGGAAGAAGATACCTCATCTTGTTAAACAGGATGTGTACAAACAGAATCAGGAGAAGGAGGAGGAAGAGAAGAAGATCATGGATGATTACGTCCTCCACAAACTCTTCAAAAAAGGTCTGTAACACGATATACACATACATGTATATGTTCATATATATGATATACATTTGTATATTTTTTTCTACCTTGAAGCCCTTTTAAATTTACCATTACGCATACAGGTATAGACACTGCAATGAAGCATGATGTGATTATGGATCCTTCCAAGCATGACTACATGATTGTGGAGAATGAAGCTGCTAGAGTTGCCAAGGAAGCTGCTCAAGCTCTGAAGAGGTCAAGGTCAGCCTGTAACTTAGCAATCACAGGACTGCCTACCTGGACTGGCCAATCAGGGGTCAAAAAGTAAGTTATTTGTATTTATTATAGAAAAGAACATCAAGTATTTCAATTTCCAACAACATTCCAAGTATCCTTATTTCTTTTTTTTTTTTCAGGCCAAGATTTGGACAGAAGAAGAATAGCATGTTGATCGACTCCACAAAGAAACAGGAGACACAACCTACTGCTTCAGTGTCCACTGTAAGATTCATTATCACATGCTTAGGTTCTGTATTTACATGGGTGTATGGAGTACAGTACATTGTACACGAAATATATGAGCATCTTTATAATGAAACCATGGTTTTAAACAAAAATTATTTTTCCTAATTGTATGGTTTATTTAAACAATATAGCAAAGTCAATTTAACAATAAGAAAATTTCATGTCTTAATAACATGATTACTTTGCTTTTTGCAGTTGAAAAAATCTGATTCAGACCCACCTGTGAAGCATTTTGATGGTTCTCTGGTAGGCAACGTGGTGAAAGATCTAAAAACAGGACAATCTTCATCGAGTTCTATGACTTCTGACCTCTTATTGAACCAGATGAAGAAGAGAAATGAGCTAGTGGCCACAGCCGGTGATGAAGAGGAGGATGACATGGGAGATAACTCCACAAACCCTGTGATTGATTCAGACTCTTACAAACTTATCTCAGAAATTAAAAACTTTATTCTGTTTGGGTGTAGTATGATTGGCAAGGCTTCTACTCAGGAGATTCTGGATGAGTTCGGCCCGAAGCTTCCTCCTTCCAACTCCTCCTTATTTAAAGCCATGTTGAACAAAATATGTGTGTTTGAACGAAATAATGGCATAGGATTCTGGAAACTGAGAAATGAATTCCGTTGAAGATATATGTACTTGAGGTTGAAATGCACAATCTTGTTTACACCAAATTACCTTCTTATTTTCAGGGAGTTCTTTTGCAATAATTCTTTATTTTGAAGTTTGTATTTTAAGGGTGCTTTGAAACTTTTTATGAATGTTTTGCAGGCTTTATTGGCATGCATACACTATATTTGTATGATAAAAGTATAATATGACTATCATTAAAGGATACCAGGTTGTTTTTTTTCTAAATGTTAACAATTACAAGTTAAATTCAATTTTGATACAGAATTCCATTGCGAAATCAGGGAAAATGCGCAAGTGTTCATGATATGATAGAATTTTAAATGTATATTAAAGAATATCATGATCATAAAGATGATACAACTAAAGAAGAGTCCAGTGTTTTGTGTAAAAAAGAATGAAAGAATACAGAGTGCCTAGGATCAGAGACCTGGAGAAGTATAGTGTAGAGATCACTAAAGCCATGCAGCACTTGAAGAGTATATTATAGTGAAAAAAAGTGTCTGTAATACAAAATGCCCTAGAGAGTAACATGGTTAAACTTGAACTCCCATAACAATTTAAACTTCCTGTATTTGTAACAATGATACTGTGAACTCATCAAATTATGCTCCCTTCCCCATCCCAAAAAACCTGACTGTGTAAATAGTAGAATACATGTATAATCAAGATCCAAGTTTGGTACAAGCTACTACTTAAAAAGTTTACATATTTATAGAACTTCAATGTCCATCTTCACAAAGTAAAGTTTACACTTTTTTTCTACTTTGAGCTTGCTTTAATGAACTTGGATGAAGATTATACTACTCCCAAAGATCATGAGCAATCTTCTCGTCAGTATGGGTGTCCAATGTTTTTGACTGCAAAGATACAGTCCACACACGGATGACATAATTGACTGCCATTAACTTTGAACTTATCTATGACCTTGGGTCAAGATCATGATAAACCTTGAAGTCATGAACAGCCCAGATGATGAGTTTTAGCATTTAACGTTTTGTTTGTTGGTTGGTTAACATCCCTCTCCAGAATATTTCACTCATATGGAGATGCCAATACTTGCCAGTGGAGGACTGCAAATTTTGACCGACTGACTACTGGCCACTGAGCAGTGAAAGATCTTTTTCGTGCCAGCACCTTCTGCAACAAACCTCGATTTATATGGTCTCATCTGAAGGACCAGTCTCTATGCCCCACAGTGGATTTGAACCCGTGACATAAGGATCAATTCCTTACACTGTGACTCGAGCAAACGCTCTAACCACTGTGCCATAGCATTTATGTTTATCCAGCTATAATATTATGTGTTGGACAAGTACTATACAATTCTTCTTCTAGTGACTCTGACCATGATAAAATGAATTGGATTATGGTTGAGAACACTCTCATGTTATTAGAGTACAATCTTTCCTGTTTCTCCATTACATTGTTTTGGTGTAGAAACATTGCACAGACTGACAAAGGTGATTCCCATATCTTCTTTTATATGTCTACTTAAGTGGTGTGTAGTTGTATAACTCAGATATGTCACTTATGTTTTAAATTGCTTTCTAGAAAAGAAAACATGATGATTGAGATATCAAGGAAATATGTATATTCAGAATCAGTAATCATTTAACACATGCTTTTAAATTTCAATTTATTGTCAACAAATAATTTTGGTTATTGGGTATAAAATTCAACAACTGTATAATCATAAAATCAGTTAACAAAGCTTTGAAAATCATGAATAAATTACGTTTTTATTATTTACACTTAGGTACATATAAACCATATAAAAATATAGGTCCTGTGCTTCTAAGTATGATAAAACTTTTTACAATAGTTCTCAGCTGTCCCTGAGGAATATTGCATCTCTGAGGCTGTACATATTTATATCCTTTAGCCTCTCTTAGAACACATTTAAGAAAATAATGGAATATATATGTATACAGAAAAAAAAACCAATCACATTTTGCTGGAACTCTGGGCTTTCTTATAATCCTCATACAGATACAAAGTTTTCCTGGGGACGCGGATATTTTCTATCTGATATATACACTTATAAAGTGCATTGTACATTGATGGCCAGCGTTTGTCTGCATCAGCCCCAGCACGGGATGTGGGGTCTAGGTGACTGGTGGCGTATGCCAGCCCCACTCTGTAGGTGGTGTCCGCCAGCCCCATCTGTCCTCCATATCCACCATGGCCAAACATAAACATTGTCTAGAATAAAGACAAGAACATCTATTTCAATTAAATAGAAAAATATCTCAATTTATCATGTTTACTCCTTTATGCAGTGGATATAGCTCATAGGATATAATTTTCATATCCACCACTGTGATATTACAATGGGTTTTGAATGAATTTGATCAAATAGTGTAGATTTACATATATGAAATAGTGTAATACATGAAACAGCTACATGTATGTATAAAACATGTGATAAAAAGAACATCCAATGGTTTGTGGTTGGATATGATTTTTTATCCAACTTGTGTGTTTTTATCCCTTCGCCAGGGCTCAGGGATAAAGACATACAACTTGTTGGATAAAAAAATCATATCCAACCGTAAACCATGGGAGATCCCATACATGTATGTTGATTGTACTATAAATGTAGTAGATGCATTTTATTGAAAAGAGTAGAAAACTTGTTAAATATTTGGCACATTATTTTTCCCATTTACACTGTTACAACACAAGGTATTTAAATCAAGTTTTAATGTACACTTCTTTTATAAATACAATTTTCATCTGCAGTATCGTTTCACATAATTCACTGAAGTAAAATTGCCAATAGTCAGCAACACCCACTCACAGGCTTTCCTTGTTCCATTACTGGGAATATCATCATCCCATAGCTCCACATTCCATCCATGCTAAAGGCCAGATCATACCCACCACTCTTTATCCGCTGGAATCTATCCACCGAGTCCTGGGAGAGCAGTCGCTTCCCATGCCATACCCCACCCTCCCCTAGAATAGCATGGAACTTGGCCATGGACTCTGCTGTCCCATGACCACATACAGACCCTACTGGGAGCACTCTGATATCTGGGTCGTTCATCCTCCGAACCTGGAAAAAAATTGCCAGTAATGAACTCAAATCTGTTGAACTTTTCCTCAGTAATGGATCTTCACCTATTGAAAAATCAATCTAACATGAATTTTAGAAAAGCAAATTACTATACATGAAAATTTTTCAATATATGTTGTTGGAGAGAAAATTTAAATACTCAAAATCATGAACTGAAATAGTGTAAAAGCTACATGAAGATTTTTAAATATGTATCTGTCAGTAAAGCTTAGGGCCATTGTTGTCCCTAATGATTTCTCGTCTTACCCCGATGAAGTCTGTGGGGTTCCCTCCTGTTAGCTGTAGAATGCTGAGGTCACCTTTGAAGTTTCTGATATACTCCTCCTGATCAAAGCTCTTCATCATCACTATACGAGGTGCTCTGTACTGCTTCTCATATGGAAGACCAATGTGGAAGTCAAGATCTGTAGAATGTTCGAAACTTTTAAAATCAATAAATTAATAAATTTTGTTTTATTTGTAATAATTGCAAAGCAAACAAAGGTTGTATGGAATGAAAATAGTTTCCTCTTGACTTGAAAGTAGGGATGTCAACGAATAGTCGACTATTCGACTATCAGTCGAATGGACCGACGATCGAATAATGAAACGACATTCGAATATTATCATAATTAAATAAATGCAATAAAAGAGTGATGGTATTCTCATCACAAAATTGAGAAACCGTCTTTCCTCAGAGACAGTCGCTAAGATAATTTTCCTAAAAAAAAAAAACGGTTGATTTTCCATGTACGTATAGAAAGTACAGTAATTATAAGTGCTTCACTACTGCCGCGTACTGCGGGATTTATTTATCAGTAACTGCCTGTGTTGTTTTTGTAATTAATTACCCACCAATTTACTAGGTTTTGTTTGTAAAATTATAAATTGGACTTGATCTTATACCATGTACCAATTATTTTTTGTTATTTTAAGATTGCTCAAGCGCAAGGAAGAACCATAACTGTGATATGTTTTGACACATCGATAATTACATGTATCAAAACAATTCGCTTACATTTTAAACTGTATAAGGACATTTTGATAGTCTGAGCAAACAATAATCGAATAAGCAGTATCTACCTGTTTAACATTTTACAGGCACTTGACGTGTGGATAATGTGAGATTGACCCCCCTCTCCCCCAATTTATTTCATAAAAATCTTTAGAAAATATCTCCTGGCAATTTTTTTCTTTGCTTACTTAAATAAAAACTGACTGCATGTACAAACCGATTTACGAATTCTATTGACGGGGAAATCATACATTTTGGAAAATTAGGTTTTGAAATTCAAATAATCATGCTATCCACGCGTTACGTTGCATAAATTTTGATGTTACTTCTTAAATAGATTTAAGTAAAAGGGTTTCTGAATTATAAATAAATCATGTACCACTGAAGTTTCAAATACAATTTTATTTTCAGGAAATGTTCCGAAAATATTCGACTATCGTTCGAATAATGCAATCGAACAATCGACTAAGGAAAATAAATATTTTGACATCCCTACTTGAAAGTAATGATATTTTTGCACGAATTCAATATTTGTTATGAGTGTGCTTTGCTGTATCAATTGCAGTTTGAAGATCATTTTTTTAATAGAGCTTTGTTAGATGTTCATGAAACAACAGCAACAGACCTTCCCTGGACATCAACTTACCAAGCATCAAGACTCTTTCTCACAAAGTTTAAAAGAGACATACCGGTATATATATATATATATATATATATATATATATATATATATATATATATATATATATATATATATATATATATATATATATATATATACTACACAAATAATGCCCTCTTCCCCTTTGAATTTTCAAATTTAAAGCAGAATAAAAATGTTACACACCAAATGGTACTGCCATTTCTTCACAGAAATACTGTGATAGGCTCCTCTTTTGGGGGTCCACTCTTCTGACAATTTGATCCAAATATAGAGCAAAGGTGATAGGGTGGTACCCATGGTTAGTGCCTGGAATAGGGAAAGATTTTGTTTTTTTTTCAGTTCTGAACATAAATAATAGTTGTTGCTTAACTTATCATGTCAGTATGCTATAAATATCCTCACCAGGAGTCCACAGTGGTTTTTGATTGGCAAGTATCCTCCCGAGCTTGTCAGGGTCGTCCTTAGACATGGCCATTGTGAACTTCTCCTCTGTACATGATAACCCGGCCTACAGGTAAGACAGGGAACATTAAACAACCCTGTGTACAGGTAAGACAGGGAACATTAAACAACCC